TCAAGATCACTTTAACTCATTTGGAGTTCTTGTTATAATCTTTTTAACTACAAGATGAAGACCTGCCCACCGCTGGAACTTTGCCTGGACTTTTTTAAGAAACAACTAAAGACCCACTTTTTTAAACTCGTTTTTTAGTTTAATACTGTGTTTACTGCTTTTGTATGTTGTTTTAATTTATAGAAACTTTTTATAAATTTGTGCAGCACTTTGTGACCCTGGTCTGTGAAAAGTGCTATAGATATAAAGTTTACTTACTTACTTAAAACTTTTTTTGTTTGTTTTTTCTTTCACCTACTGGGGAGTATTGGGGTCGGCAACCCAAAATGAACAAAAGAGCAATTGGACCAAAAAAACTAAAAATAAATCTGTCTGGAGCCGCAAAAATGTAAAAAAATGTCTTATATATGCCTCATATAGCAACATGGGCTCTAAGTGTATTATACCACTATATAAAAGGAATATGTGGGCTTTAATATACAGTACACATTCATGATTAAATGTTAATCCTAGAGCAAATGTCACATAGCAGCATGAGGTGAGGGACGAGTAGTGAACGCTCTCACCGCGTACTGCCTCACCACCCTTTACCGCGCGGTTTAGGTTTTTGTTGCATTGATGAAATTATAGAAACATGATAAATGAGTCTTTCTATGGTGGACGTGTTTCTGTTTCTGCAATAGCACTATTTCTCTCACTCCCAGCTTGGCGGTCCTGCAGCTTTATATGCCTGGCACCGCGCTGCACTGGTTGCAAGTTATGACCACTGATCTCTATGGCTATGACGCAAAGTATTGTTTAAAATAATTTACTATTCAAATGTTTACAGCATTGGAAAACATAATACATTTTTCTTTGACCTCCTGCACACAATATATAAAAAAAATATATCGATTTTCATAAATTTTTGAAAAAAGCTCCAGGGAGCCGTAAGGGGGACGCTAAAGAGCCGCATGCGACTCCAAAGCCGTGGGTTGCCGACCCCTGACCTAGTGGTTAGAGCAGTGCGCATGTGCTCTGAGAAGGTTGCCAGTACCCGGTTCACTCCCCACAGGCGGCACTCTGGGTCTCTGAGCAAGACCCTTGATCCCTGATTGCTCCCCAGGCGCCACACAATGACAGCCCACTGCTCCCATAGGGGATGGGTTAAATCCAGAGGTACATTTCTCCATTGTGAGATCATTAAAGTCCAATTTTTAAGTAATTATTAACTACAAGATGTACCGTATTTTCATGACTATAGAGAGCAACCACACTATAAGCCCTGCCCACTAAGTTTTTTGAAAAAACTGGAGGCGTACATATATAATCCGCACCGGGCTATAAGCTGCTGATATCTACTGAACTGTCCACCAAACCTGTAGGGGGAGCTCTACATATATCCCCTGGAGTAGAGATGAAGTAGAATGCTAGCTCGCGTTAGCTTGTTGGCTCGCAGCAGCAAAGACAGGGCTTTGTCAGCTCTTTATTTCAGCTCTGCAGGAACTGAGCCCAGACTCTTCATTGGTTACACGGCTTTAATGCAGCACATAAATGTCAAAATATATTAAATTTGGATTTTTTTTCTCCGTCGTGCCTTCTGCTAGCATGTTCTTGTGCTAAATGAAAATTAGCCCCTTATTCTTTCATTTCCAAATTTGACTTCCCACTCTGGCGGTTAGGAAAAATCCATAGAAAAGCTGCACCTTTTTATAAGCTGCATGGTTCAAAGCGTGAGGGAAAACAGTAGCAGCATATAGTCCAGAAAATACAGTAGTTATTCACATCTTTTCTTGCATTCAAGCCAAAATCGCAGGAATAGAGGAAGATTGCAGGTGATGAGACTCTAGTGTAGGTTATCCGTTTGCTGCTACTGTCTGCTGTGCTTTCAGTGCATGTCAGAAATACCTTAGATATTTTCAGATTCTCCCTACTTTCATATATCAGTGGAGTGCAAAACCCTCAGATAAACTATGCAACTGATTGGTTGGAATATTTGATATCTTTGAAACAGAGCAGTAATACTTTCATCCTGTTGAACAACTAGGTGGATGTTAACCAGATTGGTTTTATGAAAATAGGGTTTTAGACAGAGGCTGAGTGGCACTAAGCTCTTATTTTGAAGGGCTTTCTCACAGCATCAAGAACAGAGACATTCAGACAAACACTTGGTTTCAAAAAGCTTTATTCCAGCACTCAGGGAAAGTGACTGCAGGGGAGACCAGATACATATATTATATCCATAGACAGCATGTAAAAAGCATGTAGATGTGATGGACCTTTTGAAACCCACCACACAGGAAAACCCTTTGCCAACATTTATAGCCTGACGCTGCAGCCGCCGGGGGTCCTGATGCCTCTCACTCCCTCTCCCTTCTCTCTAACCTCCATCGTCCCAGCTCACCCAGACAGACCTTCTGGTTGCATACAGAGTAGTTATTATCAGACCAGGAGTGTGGAGGATCTCTGCTGCCCCCTGCTGTTTTTCCCTCATCCGACCAGAAGCAGAGCTGTGTGGATTGGGAATGATGAGAGAGTGTGTGTGTTTGTATCTGAACATCAGTGTGGAGACAAAGCACATCCTCTAAACAGCACAAGGTTGCACTGTGCATCTCACACGCTGTCAGGTGAAGCAGCTAGAGAAAGTAAAGGAGACTCTGTGTGTTTGTGCTAAACAAGGATGTGCAGGTGTTAGTGGGTAACAACCTCCCCGGAGACAGCTGAGGCAGCGAGAGAAGAGGAGCTGCTGAGAGATATTAAAAGGAGGACCATTTTAGCTCATGTCTGACAACAAAGATCACCTCCATTAGTCTGTAAGTTCATGTGCTTCTGTTCTAGAGAGTGTGTTTATAGCCACACCACGTTGAACAAGTCATAACATGTTTGGAGAGTGAGCTGAAGAAGCCTCAGCAGATACATGCAAGGTGAAAGGTATTGATTATGTTTGATGAACGTACCCTCTTCACCTTGGTCTGTTTGATTCAGTAATTGATCGTTAAGAACGAAAGTTAATGTCACTTTGACATGACCTTCAGAAGCATAGTTGTTTCATAAAAACAAAATATTCACTAAAACCATAAAAACTATGACGGTAAAGTTGCTTATTGACCTTCCCTTAATGCTTTTTATTCCTTTCTGCTGAGATGAAACGCAGGAAAACTCTTCTGACCTGCAATGTTGCACATTAAATCCTTTTTGGTAAACTACAGCTCAGACGCTTGTTTTTAAAACCTCTGTTTGGGTTTTGCTCTTTGATGTTTTCCTTCTTTGACCTCTCATCAATAAAGTGGGATGTCAGTAGTTGATGTACGCATGATTCTCATTAAAACAAAATCTTCATAATGTGGAATTTTGCAGCTGGTTAAACAGTTTCTAGTATTTTAAAGCTCTATACTCATCTTTACCTACAGTTATGGAGTTTGCTCTATGTAAAGCCAAGTTAGCAGCTCCTTAAAGCTGCATTTTACTTTACAAAAATGACCAATAAGTAATCCATTTTGATAAGTTAAGGTTATATACACCAAGATCATTTACTCTGACCTGATAGTGTTTAGATTGTCCTTTTTGAGCCTAAATAGAATTCCAGTACATGGCTTGATGGGCACACATAGATATAAGTGGCACCATCTGCTGGCAGTACCACAGAACTATCAGAAAGCCAGATAGCGATTACTAAAACTCAACAGTATCTTGCTATAAAGCCTGACCAATATTACCAGTCTTACCCATAGTGTCCTAACAGAACATCAAGGAGAAAATAGGAGAAAACAGGGACACAACATCAGCTTAAGAAGCAGCCAATCCATCTATCTATCTTTTTATGATATTGTTCATACTTAGAAGTATCAGTATTAATAAGGACGTTTACTCACGTATCCATCAACTTAGCAGCTACATCTAAACATCCCAGCGGCTTTAGTTTCCACTTCAGTGAACACCAATGTTCATACTGTTTTCCCAGCATATTCCAGTCATTACCCCCATTTTTTTCCCTATTTTTCATCCTGGATCTTAGAATTTTCTTCCTTGTTTCCACACTTCGCTGGGAGGTACTAACTGGGTTAGCCGCAGTAGGCTACTACCCCCTGCATACCTGTGCACTATCATGCCCCCTGGTTATTGTAAATATGCACAAAGAGCTTTATATACTAGCAAACTGAGCAATAACAAAGCATAAAACACAAAAATAACATATAATACCCCAACAAGACATTGTAATCTTTCAGAAAAAAAAAAATTCCATCGCAGGGCGACCTGGGCAGGTCACCAATCCATCGCAGGGCAACACAGAGAAAAACAGGACAAACAACTATTCACACACACACCTTAAGGAGAATTTAGACAAGTCAATTAACCTAACAGTCATGTTTTTGGACTGTGGGAGGAAGCCGGAGTACCCGGAGAGAACCCACGCATGCTCAGGGAGAACATGCAAACTCCATGCAGAAAGACCCCGGTCCAGGAATCGAACCCAAAACATTCTTGCTGCAAAGCAGCAGTGCTACCCACTGCGTCACTGAACAGCCCGCTACTGGTCTATGAATTTATTTTTTTAAGTCAAATCAACTGAACTTTAAAGTGTCTTAAAAGGCGGGTAGTCTTACTCTGGACATTTTCCATCAGAACAGATGCATATAGGGCGAGCGGGGTGCAGAACAGCAGGTTTTACTGTCGCAAAAAAAAAAAAAAAAATCAGTGTCACTGTTATCTGTTAAGTGGGACTACAGCTCCTTTATTAGGATGAGGAGCCCAGAACAAAGAGAGGATCAGGCATGTCTACCCCCTTCCCTTATTTCCCAGTTGAGTCCCCATCAGTCACTTCCATCAGTCACAGCAAAAAAAAAAATAAGACACAGCGCATTCTATTCTGGAAAATGTCCCAATGTTTCAATTAGAAAATTATTAACCTGTCGCTCAGTGACTTTTTCTTCTCTGCCTCTTTCCCTCCGCTTTGTGCGCTTGTGTTTTTTTGCATGTGTGTGTGTGTGTGTGTGTGTGTGTGTGTGGGGATGTGATCTCAGCTGTCACTCAGGCTTCATGGGCCCCAAATGTGACATCAAGGAATACAACGTGCTGTATGTGGTGCCAGGCTCTGGAAAACTGCACTACGTCCTGATTGCCTCTATCATTGGAGCCCTGCAGGTGGTCATCATCTGTGTGGTGGTGCTCTGCATTACCAGGTGAGTCGTCACCTAAAAACACACACACACACATTCTCGCTTTGCTGTATGTAAAGTGGACCATGCATCGACTATTACAACCCTTCATTGATTTTTGGTCATTTTTAACTCTTTCTATGCTATAAACCATTCCACACCTAACCACAAACTTAAACTCAACTGGATTCACTCCTCAACCTCACCTAAAAAAAAGTATAACAGTCCTCACTTTGATGGTAAAAACACAGTAACTGATTTACAGACATGTAGAAAGACACGTGGAGACATATTTGCAGCAGAGCAGATCTTCATAAAGGGTGCAACGCAATTTGCGTGTGCAATTCAGCCATTTTTTTGCTTGTGTGCCTTTATGTGAAGATCATATTCCAATGACCAAACCACACAAATTTTTGTGTGGAGGACATGCTAATGTAAATACTTACAAAAACCCAAGCACTTTTTTATACCTAAAACTTGCTGAAAGCGCAAATGCTGGTGAAGATTCTCAGTCATCCAGGTCATAGTCATTCCAAAAGAGTTAAAAAAAACAAGTTGTTCCAAGTTGGGCGTCGTTTCGCTTCCCATTCAGGAAGCTTTTTCAATTTAGAAATAGCATTGATTTGCTTTATACAGTAGCCCAACAGAGCCTTACTTTTGCTTAGACAAAATGCAAATTGAAACGGACGAACGGGTCCACCGCTTTGGAATGAGGGTTGTTTGCTTATTTTGTTAGCCTGCAATGCCCCATATATGCTGAATAGGTGGGGTCTTCTGTTACACTGTAGAGTGGTTTGGTTGCGATGATAGCAGGAAGAGCTTAACTCAATTTTTGCAAATCTTATCATTTGTGCGATTAATTTCTTTAGATCAGGGGTCACCAACTTTTTAAGGCTTAGAGCTACATCATGGGCACTGAATCGTAGGGAAGGCTACCAGTACTGATCTATGAACTGGATGGGTCAGCCTTCACCTAAACTTCATGCATAATAAACATATTTTTAATTTTTCATTATATAAAAGCTAAAATGCCAACCAGGTTGGTGGGGGGAGTAATTAACCAGTGCTCTCCCCCATCCTCCTCCATGACTGAGGTACCCTGAGCATGGTACCGTCCCGCCACACTGCTCCCTTGGGGCGCCATTGAGGGCTGCCCCCTTGCACGGGTGAGGCATAAATGCAATTTCATGGTGTGCAGTGTTCACTTGTGTGTGCCAATGACAATGGGAGTTGGAGGAGTTTCCCAAAGGGCTTAAAAAAAAAATGTATCGTTCCTACTCTTGTCCTCCAGCGGCAGTTGCTGCCGTGAGGCGCCTCCCCTGTCCCAACCCCGTTCTCCCGCTCCCGCAGGAGTCCCTCTCAGCGCTGCAGTCAGAGCCGCAGGATGTTTACCCTCAGCATCCAGACTGCAAATGAAGCGCGCATGCGCCGGGATTGACGGCGCAAATTGATCACAATAATTAAAATATATAAATAAAAAAATAAAATAAAAAATAAATAAATAAACATTAATGGACAGAAAAAAATAGCTCTATATATTGTTCAGTAAAGTGAGTTTTTGTCTTTCTGTAACGACATTATTTCTCCCACAGCATCAATAACATGCAAATCACTTCCTGTGGTAGATTATGCAAATTAGGCGATGACGTCATTTAGCGACTTTTAGCACAGCCAATAGCTACTTTCCTTACTGAGGAGTTGGAAACACTGAAGATAGCAGAAACAGATAGAATAAAAATTTAACCATAGCTCCCTGGTGAGTTATTTTGTGTCAGACCCTGAGGGCCCCTTGGTAGACCTTATTGAACAAGCAAATAGTTTTTGGTCCAGTCATGATGCCATACACATGTAAGTAGGAAGGACGATGCAATCGGATTGGAGCAAAGAACAGTATTTAACATTAAGATCAGCTGTATGAGTGCAACCTAATAGTTAATCCACTCAGTACTGATTCAGGGAGGCCACATCTTGGAGAGTTTTCAACTCATGACTTACCTGAGATAGATTAATGAATAAGGAAAAAAACTAATAACATTAAAAGGCCTGAATACCCCCCTTTATAAGTAGGTGTGACCCGGACTACCTTGCATTTGGATCGGCTTTAGTGGGCCTGTGGTAGCCGCTTAGATAACCATAGTTTTCTCCTCTTTTTCGGTATTTAGACATGGCAAGTTCCTTAGCAACACTTCCTTACAAATGCATAAAGCAATGAGCAGCAAATCAGACTTTTGCCTCAACTGAATATGTGTAGATTAAAAGCTCCTGAGCCTGGAGGAAAATTAATAAAGGTCACAGAGTTCCTCACCTCAGGGAGAACGGGCTGTCAGTTCCCACAATGGCACGTACAAATCTGAAGAACACTCTGCACACTCATCTAATTGTGTGAGCTGTGCTTTAAAAGGCATTATATAACGACTAACAAATACTCATACTACATACTATATTTCTACTATATACACTACATATGTCTATATATATATATATATATATATATATATATATATATATACACTATATTGCCAAAAGTATTTGCTCACCTGCCTTGACTCACATATGAGCTTAAGTGACATCCCGTTCCTAATCCATAGGGTTCAATATGACGTCGGTCCACCCTTTGCAGCTAGAACAGCTTCAACTCTTCTGGGAAGGCTGTCCACAAGGTTTAGGAGTGTGTTTATGGGAATTTTTGACCATTCTTCCAGAAGCGCATTTGTGAGGTCGCACACTGATGTTGGACGAGAAGGCCTGGCTCTCAGTCTCCGCTCTAATTCATCCCAAAGGTGTTCTATCGGGTTGAGGTCAGGACTCTGTGCAGGCCAGTCAAGTTCATCCACACCAGACTCTGTCATCCATGTCTTTATGGACCTTGCTTTGTGCACTGGTGCACAGTCATGTTGGAAGAGGAAGGGGCCAGCTCCAAACTGTTCCCACAAAGTTGGGAGCATGGAATTGTCCAAAATGTCTTGGTATGCTGAAGCATTCAGAGTTCCTTTCACTGGAACTAAGGGGCCAAGCCCAGCTCCTGAAAAACAACCTCACACCATAATCCCCCCTCCACCAAACTTTACACTTGGCACAATGCAGTCAGACAAGTACCGTTCTCCTGGCAACCGCCAAACCCAGACCCGTCCATCAGATTGCCAGATGGAGAAGCGCGATTCGTCACTCCAGAGAACGCGTCTCCACTGCTCTAGAGTCCAGTGGCGGCGTGCTTTACACCACCGCATCCGACGCTTTGCATTGCACTTGGTGATGTATGGCTTGGATGCAGCTGCTCGACCATGGAAACCCATTCCATGAAGCTCTCTGCGCACTGTTCTTGAGCTAATCTGAAGGCCACATGAAGTTTGGAGGTCTGTAGTGATTGACTCTGCAGAAAGTTGGCGACCTCTTCGCACTATGCGCGTCAGCATCCGCTGACCCCGCTCCGTCAGTTTACGTGGCCTACCTCTTCGTGGCTGAGTTGCTGTCGTTCCCAAACACTTCCATTTTCTTATAATACAGCTGACAGTTGACTGTGGAATATTTAGGAGCGAGGAAATTTCACGACTGGATTTGTTGCACAGGTGGCATCCTATCACAGTTCCACGCTGGAATTCACTGAGCTCCTGAGAGCGACCCATTCTTTCACAAATGTTTGTAAAAACAGTCTGCATGCCTAGGTGCTTGAATTTATACACCTGTGGCCATGGAAGTGATTGGAACACCTGATTCCAATAATTTGGATGGGTGAGCAAATACTTTTGGCAATATAGTGTATATTAGTGCTGTCAAAATTATCGCGTTATTATCGCGTTAACGCGAGGCCATTTTAACGGCGATAATTTTTTTAACGTGAGATTAACGCTATGTGGTTTTATGGTAAAATTTTCCAAGTACATCCAGCTGCAGCCTGCGGGAAGGCGGGGCTATTTTCCCCCAGTCTATGCATTTCTCATAGGCTTCCAGAGCGGAGCTCCTCAAGGGAAAAAGACGCTCATACACTGGGTGACGCTAGTGCCTTTTCTTTAAGCCCCACCACCAACAAACAAGTTGAGTGTCTGGTAACTAGTAGCAACCTGAAATACGCTGAGAAAACTGATTACTGAGGTGAAATGGAATCTGCTACGGCACTCTTGCTGTCACAGGTCGGTATTGTGTGTGTGTGTGTGTGGGTGGGTGTGTCTGTGTGTGTGTGGGTGTGTGTGTGTGTGTTCTCATTTTTGTTAAGAGTCTGAAAAGGAACTTTCATAGACTACCTCCATCTAGTGATGTCGGTCTATTGATTTTGATGTATTGATTGAAAATTGTTAATTATTATCTTGGTTAATTAACATCTAATGTTAACTCTACTACATTTTATAGCAGTAGGGTAAAATGCTTGTCTTTGTTCAAAAGACTGTATTAACTGTAAAGACTGTCTTTTACATCAGCCTGTTTTCAGGGCCTTTTTTTTGGCTACATATTTGTTATTTTTTGCTACATGCCATCTTCTTGCCATATGTTTCTATGGCATAAATCAGTATCTGTGACCTGTTCTCATTTAAAAAAAAGAACATTGGCACAAACCTAGCCTGTATGTATTTTTTGTATGTCATCGAGAGTATTTAAATGATTTTCAATCAGAAAAAAAATTTGCGATTAAAATGCGATTAATCGCGAGTTAACTCAGGCATTGATGCGATTAATCGCGATTAAAAAAATTTAATCGATTGACAGCACTAATATATATATATATATATATATATATATATATATATATATATATATATATATATATATATAGATGTATGCGCTTTAATTGGAAGATTTTTGCTAAGAGAGGACTGCTACTCGGAGCGGATAAGCTGGAGGAGGTGGTGGGGGTGGAGCTCTAAGGGGACTAAATGAGAGTGTAGTCATAGGGGAGCACAGTGAGAAGGTAAGAAAAAGGATAAAAGCATACTGGGATCATTTATAACAGTGAGTTAATGTTTCCTGCAACGCTGTTTAAGGCATCCCTTAAAACCAGCCATACACAAGCTTCCTTTACAGCTGGTGTCACTCTAATTGGAATCTGGATGCACCAGGCAACTCCTGCGATGCTCCTCCCATTGAGGACAAGATCTTCTTCCACTGTCTGAGTTTTTACAGGGTTTCTGTTTATTCCCCATTCACTTAAAGGACAAACATGAGGCAGCAGAAAAGGTCATTTCTGTGCTTTGATTCTCGTGTCTGACATTCTCTCTTATCGCGGGAAAGGTCTGCTCGAGGAAACGCTGTCCTCCAAAATACCACACTGTTACCACATTATTGTAAACTTCCTACCGCCTCGTGAAAAGGACAAATCAGCCTAAACTTTATTCCAGACCCATTTCTTCTCTTGTTAAAGTAATGTACGTTAGATATTTGATTAATAACAGAAGGCCTTACAGATGCTCTCTGTGCCTTCATTTTTATGCATATAAATTCTTTGGAACGTCATCATGTTTGTCCAACTTCCTCATGCAAGTCCAACCATTAGGCGCTAAGGGTCAAATGCATTAATCAGCTGATCATTATCCCTATGAAGACCTCTATACAGTCACAGGTTGGTTTGCTAACACAACACAAGGGTGGAAAAACATCAGCACTGACCTTAGGGAAGATACCATTGCTGCCTGTCGATCCAGGAAGGGTAATGAGGTCATTTCCCTTCGGTCTGAAGTTCATCATTCAAAGAGGGATTATTCCCAACTAGAAAGATGTTTAACATGGGGCCAATTTTCCAAGGAAACAAACATCTCAGCAAATCCAGGCCAAGGTCAGAGCATGGAGCTGAAAAAACTCGCCAAAAAATCAAAAGCTCACAGTTTATAGGTGTCAGAGAGCATGTTGAATTTAAAAGGTCATCAAGAGAATAAGGAAAAAAGTCTGAACAAGCATGGCTTGTTTGGAAAAAATGCTTTAAAAAAATCCTTCTCTCTTAAAGCAACAATTTGAGATTTAAAAAAGGCTTTTTTGCTCAAAAACTAGACTATGTAACTCACTATATGAGTCATATACAAGATGGGACAAGACTCGGCGGTATATCTACAACCTATGAACAAAGGACATTCCTTTGAGGACCAGAATTTTGAAATTTTTGGACAAAGAAGAAAGGTGGTTTGAGAGGGGTGTGAAGGAAGCCATCTATGTTAAGAAAGAAAAACCAACCTTAAGCTTCATCTTTCAAAAACCTACAATGCAGCCATTGAATTGATTCCTTCCCGCTATCCTTGTAGTGTATTCTCATTATGAGTTCGTATGAAATCGTACGAAAAGTTATGCACCGTAATTTCGTACGCACCATTTAATAACTTCAAATTTAACATCCAATTAACCCTAACCCTGACCCTAATCCTAACCCTGACCCTAACCCTAAGGTATAAAACAGCAAGCAACGTAGTTAGAGACATGAAGAAGTAATTATGGCACTGTTTTTCACATTTTTACGTCCGTCCACGGATCTGCTTTTTTGTCTGTCTGCCTGTGCATGCGCACTGGTCTGTTTTTTTGAGGAAAAGCGTCCAAAACTTACGAAATACTGTGCATAACTTTTCGTACGATTTCATACGAACTGATAATGAGAATATGTTGATCCTTGCAACCCCCATCCCCATAGAGGCGACCAAAACACCTCAACCTGTTTCAGCCAGGCCAACAATTCTCTTTAACAACCCCCTTTCAGAGACATAGACAGGCATTGGGTATAACAGTCTTACAAAGACCTCAAACGACCCCCATTCCAAAGGAGCAGACCTATTTGTCCGGTTCAGTTTGCATGTTTTCTAAGCCAAAACAAGGCTTTGTTTTTGGTCCACTCTATAAAGCCTAGAACTCAACACTATTTTTACAACATTTTTAATTGAAAAAGCTTCCTGGATGGGAAGCGAAATGTCTTCAAACTTGGAAACAAAGTCCAGTGGATTGATTTTTAACTTTTTCGGAAAGTCGGATTGTTAAATCAGCCTCAGAGTTGTATGTTATCTTCATAGCTGACTGTCTCCTGCCTCAAGCATATCTTAATAAAGTAAAACTGTTATTCAGAGATTTGGCACCAATAGAAGATAACTCTCCAATCTATTCTGACTATCACATGGCTTTGTTTTAGCATTTTGATGTGTCATCATTTGCTCCTTTTTCTGCAGGAAGTGCCCACGGACCAATAGGATCAACCGGCAGAAGCAGAACAATGTCCACTTCAGTTCTGAGAACACCATGCGCGCCTCCACTCGTCTTATCTGAGCCCAGACTCACCGGAAGAGTCGCCCCCCCCTCACGCTACGGAGCGCTGTGGCGTTAGATGTTCCCTTCGTAGGCCAAACATGACAGTTAGCGTCCGCCTCCCTTCACTCGACTCCCCCTCTCCCATGTCCCAACGACCAGAGAGGACGGTGGCATCACAAAACAAGAGTTGGCACCGCGGTAAGCGGCGAGACTTGCACGTTGGGATGATGTTCTCATCATCGGACGCCGCCGCTGCCCACCTTCCTGTTGCCGACATGTGTCCTTTTTCTGAGGATCCTGTTTTTTTCTGACAGAACTAAACTGGGGAGGAGGAGAAGGGGGAGGCGTCAAGGACACTGAATGTGAGTGTGTGTGAGTGTCTTATTAGATGTGTGCGCTTCGGTAGAGGCCGACTAGCCGGCGTCTGTTCTTTGTAGACGAGGGTTAAAAGCAAACCGGGGGTAGTGCAACGCAGGGTACCGGGCTTTAAAAATCGCAGTCTGTGTTCAGTCTGGGAGGGGGGGAGGGAGGGGTTTCGGGGCTACACGTGATGCCTTGCACCTTGTGTTATAGGAGACCTTTGACAGAGGGCACAAAGTTATTATAGAGCTCTCTGTTCTTTTGTGACGATGACGTCAGCTACTGTATGTTGAGTTCTATTTCCAATAGTTATTACAACATTGTCTTGATGGGGTCCGTTTTTTCTGTAAATGTAAATAAATAATTTATATCACGAAATGTTAAATGCTGCCTCAGTCTGTTCTATCTTTGATCTGTGATTTCCTTACTAATGACATGGTTCCTCATTTATGTACACGTGATAAAAAGACGCCTTTTCTCAATGTTTATTATTCTATGTCATATATGATTTCATCCTGGAGACACAGAGAAAAGCAGCAAATAGAAAATTATTCTATTTATTTATGCAGGTAAAATAATCTTATTCTTCAAAATATTATCTAATGATAACCAGTTGATTGTGAAAACTTCTCTGCAATCCCTTGCACTGAGCATGCATGTAGCGACAGTGGAGAGGAAACTCCTGTTTGACAGGAAGAAACCCGCAGCAGAACCAGACTGTGTGAGCTGCCATCTGGCGAAGCGGACTGGAGTTAAAGGAGACAGAAGCAGATAAAGACATAAACTAGTGGTGCAATAAGCCAGAGGGTGAGTGAGACTGAGAATGAAGGGAGGAGATGGGGTGAAAGCAGGAGGGATGCTGGGCCAGGAGCTAAATGAAGGGTATCTTGAAAGATGGCTGACTTCAGAGAAGGTGTGGCTCCCTTTGGGCTTGAGCTGAACGGGGAACATCGCACGGGGTTCGGGTGAAGCTGATAAGTCTTCCACATTGAGTTTTCACTTACGCTTCATCGCTGGAATTATTAATAGCTGTATAAATGAAAAAAAGGTTTGTATGTTATTATAATGTACCTGTATTTCAGAAATGTAAAACATATTATTTTTTGAATGAAATGCCTTTAAACTTTTTGACTTGGTGCATACTTCCTTGAACAAGTTTTTCCTTAATAGTTCCCTGGAATTTTTGCCACTTCCTGTTAACAGAACTGGGGAAGCTGTGTCAGGTTTGTAGACTGCCTGGTTTACACAACTCATCTAATCTTACAGTCTGTCCAATACATGATCCTTGTTTTCTATAAAACAACACTGTCACTTTTGACGCAAGTACTAGCTTAATTTCAGATATATTCAATGATTTTACAGGTCAATATATATGAATTGGTGTGTATCATAGGTCCGGGCTGCTCTTGGATTCATTGCTGCTTTTTACGGCAGTCTTTAACAAAAGCTAACTAAGCTAAAAGTTGTTAAGCAACCACACAGATATGACTCTTACCTGATCAGACATATTTTAGGTTATCCCATGTAGGATTTAATCTAGAGGGCTAAATGTAGCCTTGATTTTATAATTAACTTCATGATTTCTCAGTCTGCAGGTCCAAAATGACCTGCTATCCGGTTCCAAAACAAGGAGGGAGACTTTAATTTTGGGACAGTACTTCGTTGCCATCTTCTTCCAGGAAGCTTTTTCAATTCAAAATGTCAGAAATAGCGTTGACCAAGGGCGTAGGTTTGATTTAAACTTAGGCAGGGACACTCTTGGTCTGATGTCATTGGTCCTATGCAAAAAAATGCATTGTCGTCTTTTTATGCTTGACGTGAAAATCATGGTGTATTTTGTTTAAAGAGAAAAGCAGCATTTCTTGCTACATTTATACAAATTTTATAAGCGACACACACACACTAGATGCTGTTTATCAATGTTTGAAGCATCACTGGCTCTGATGAATGTGGAATTATGACTAAATTCCACTTTGAAAAGGTTTGCATTTGAAATTACCAGCGACTAAGACAGAAAGTAAATCTGTGCCTATTTAACAAAATATAGTCTAAATATGTCTGTTATATGTGAATTTATCCTGTTTTTTTCATTTGAAGCTATACAATTGTGCAGAGGTAAACACAGGTAAAACCAACTCTTATCTTTTAAATATTCTCTCTGTATCATGAAACAAAGCAAAATAATAGATTCAAGAGACACCAAATAAATTTATTGTATTTACATGAGCACTGGAACTGACACTGAATATTTAGAATATTAATTTCACTCTACAAGTCATCTAGGCTGTAGTTACTCTATTTAACCCATATCATGTATTTTATCTTGGGCTGAAACAATTCATTAGATTAAACGATTACTGAAATGTCAACAAATGTAGTAGTCGATTAATTGTTACCTGGAGTATAGAGACTCTAAAACATGTCTTTAGCTCACAGAGCGACCCACTTACAGCAGGAATTATACCAAAATAAAAAAAATATATATAAACATTTTGCATTTTAGATCAAAGATGTTTCCGTCTGTCAATGTCCTCCATCCAGAACTCCTCTAGTGCTGCAACAAAGCTGTATTGTAAATTGTAAACATGTTATTGACATCTAATTGTTGGTAGGGACAAGTGGTCGACTCCACCAACAAGAGGATTTTCTCCAAACACACAATCCCATTACATTTCAAACCAAACAAGACCCTTAAACAGAGGCTAGTCCATCCTAAGGGCAAAACCCCCAGACCAAATATGAGCGGAGTGGTGTATGCAGTTCAATTATATTGGAGAAACGAAACAATCTCTCCACAGATGCATGGCCCAACACAGAAGAGCGACCTCCTCCAGACAAGACTTGGTGGTACATCAACACTTTATTGAAAAAGGACATTCTTTGGAGGACCAGAATGTTCACAGTTAGGACAAAGAAGACAGGTGGTTTGAGAGGGGTGTGAAGAAAGCTATCTATACTAAAACATATTTTCTTTTGCCCAACTGTTTTTAATATCCTTTTTTGTTTCTGCATTTTTTTATTTTTTTCCTACTTGCTTTGATTCTGTTTTATCTTCCTGTATTTTAATCATGTAAAGCACTTTGCATTGTCTTTGTACTGAATTGTTCTATACAAATAACTTTGCCCTGCCTTGCCTTGCCTATTTTAAGAAAGAAAAACCAACCTTAAACAGAGGGGGTGGACTCAGGTTTCAGCTCTCAAAAACCGACAATGCAGTGACAGAGTTGATTTATTTCGCTATCATCACGGGAACAAAACACCCGGCCTGTTCAGCCAGGCCAACAACGACCCCCCAATCAGAGACATAGACAGGTATCGGGTATTGCAGGCTAACAAAGAACCCAAACGACTGCCCATTCCTAAGGGGCGGAGCCATTTGTCCGGTTTGTTTTGCATGTTTTCTAACCAAAACAGGGCTTTGTTTTTGGTGCACTCTATAAAACCTCGAACTCAACTCTATTTCTGACATTTGAATTGAAAAGCTTCCTGGATGGGAAGCGAAATGTCTTCAAACTTGGAAACAAACCAGGACGACTGAGAATCTTCACCAGCAGTTTGCTGCCAGCTGCTTCCAGGTAAACTAGACTTGGAAATTACTAGTCTAGCTCCCCTAGTGGCAAAAAGTTGCACAGTGTAGCTTTAAGCAACTAAGCTATTGTCATTAGCTATGCTAATATGCACAAAAAATCTGGATCTGATTGAAATGTATTTGTATTACAAAACAACAACTAATTGTATTATATGGTTTGTATGGACATTAGTAATCAAAATGTTTAATTCAATTCAATTCAGTTTATTTCTATAGCGCCAATTCACAACACAAGTCATCTCAAGGCACTTTACAGTTCAACCAGATCATTCAGTCAAATTGATTCAAACTTTTCTATCTAAGGAAAACCAGTTGATTGCATCGACTCATTGACTCAAATACAATCCCTCGCACTAAGCATGCTTGTAGCGACAGTGGAGAGGAAAAACTCCCTTTTAACAGGAAGAAACCTCCAGCAGAACCAGGCATCATACTTTGTAGTCTAATTATTTTTTCTGCATTATCTATTTTGTGAAAGGTATGCAAATTGTTACTAAACCTTTTATGTGGGTATTGGAGTAATTGCAGCACAGCATAATTGTTAAAATTGTCTTATTTACTTTTTATGGCTTTTGTATAAATCTGGAGAAAGGAAATAAAATATGGAAAAATATTGCATTTCGTTTACCTTAATTTAAAGAAGTTTGTTTTTTCTAAACAAAAAAGGCTCCAAAACAACCAGACTATTTTATACCAAAACTTAATTAAATTAACCTTCAAAGTTTTATCTACCACAGCTTAGTTTAAAGCAGTGCTGGGAAGAAAAACTGTTCATAAACAGACATTTCTTCCTCCAAATCAATAACTTTTTTTTTCTGTGTGTTTTATCATCTGAAATATTGTTTGTGTCAGAATGAGGTGAGATGAAGATGGGCGAAAACAATAAAAAAATGTCTGTTGTTGTTTCTGGAAGGGAAAATGAAAGTCGTTACAGATTAAAGGTTTATCGATCATCTCTTTTTTCCTCCTTACGTGAAGACACTGCAAACTGAATTTATTTTCAAAAATCTAAAGATCTGAAGTTAATAAAATTTCCACTTCAGAAAAACAATGTTTTTTATGAGAATAAGAGGAGCCAGACATTCCTAGTGAAACTCTTTAACTCCTCAGTGGCAAACCTGATGTTTTCCCAGGCAAGATGTATGCTCCTGATGTTGGTGTCAGTTCAGAACACCTTTAGGCTTCCCATTTGGTTGCATTATGCTACATCCACACCGCATGCAGCAGAGGCGGCAGAAGCAGCTGGTTTACATGCAAAATCAACGGTTGACGCGCATCAATGTGCAGCAAAAGGTCTTGCAGTGCGTTCTAAGCAGCAGGAGCGGCGCCTCATGAGCTTCTGAGCATCTGAGGTGCATCACACGCTTCAAAAGCAGCTGATTTACATACAAAGTCAATGGTTGACGCACATTAAGACACAGCGAAAGGTCCCGCAGGGTGTTTTAGCTGCGTTCACGCCGAACGCAACAGGGGCAGCAAAAACGCTTCTACTGCTTCCTTTTTGCTGCTTGTACCAGTTAGTTGTTACGCGCGGCTGAAGCAAATTTGCTGCTGTAGCTGCGAGGTGGAAAAGTGATTCTGACGCGCGTTGGGCGGAGCTTTCCTATCCTTTCTTTGCCTTGCAGCTATATTTGCCGTGCTTAGTGGGAATAAAGTAGTTTTAATATTTTTTTAAGTGGGAAAATCCACCTGAAAAGTGCAGTCAGTTCATCCAGATTACCATCCTGCCTTCCAATATTATTTCTGTCCGAGCCGCTCAGACCCCCACATACCGGCGGTGCGCTGTCAGTAGGAAT